AAAAATATCCTAGGATCGATATTCAGTTAAATTTTGAGAATTTTATTTCCATTAAGACACTGACAGACTGAAAGTCCACCAAACTTAATTTTAGTAATCTTACCTTATTATTTATTTTCCAACCCTGCACATTCTATTTTTAGTAAGTATTTTCTTTTTTAAAAACAATTAATGAATGCATAAATATTGATCATAATTAGTACTCTATGTAATTGTGACGAAGTCTTTGCTAAGGCATCACGTTTAATTTTCTCTACTTTACCGCCCGCTGTAATTGTGACGAAGTCTTTGCTAAGGCATCACGTTTAATTTTCTCTACTTTACCGCCCGCTGTAATTGTGAGGCGAGGCTGGGCTAAGGCATCTCGTTTCATTTTCCCTACTTTACCGCCTGACGGAGTCTTTGCTAAGGCATCACGTTTAATTTTCTCTACTTTACCGCCCGCTGTAATTGTGAGGCGAGGCTGGGCTAAGGCATCACGTTTAATTTTCCCTACTTTACCGCCCTCCCCCTGTAATTGTGAAGGAGACTGGGCTAAGGCATCACGTTTAATTTTCTCTACTTTACCGCCCCATGCGAATCGAAATAAAGTACGGCTCAGTTACGCTGCTACTTACGCTTTGGGTACTTGAAGTACTGAAGCAAGAGGTATGAATAAAACCAGATTATCCAAAGTTTGTTTCAGCCCCTGTTTCAGCTACTTACGATTACAACATCATGATCATATTGGTCAAAATATACAACTTAAAGAGGCCCAATTCAAGATTGCCGCAGTTATTGTTTTTCCAGTTTCCACACTGCACGGCTGACGGTGTATCTCAAAACTACCTCCTATTGGCTTTGCAGTGGCATCATTAAGTTCATGCGATTTGCCATTTCATATACGCATAAAATACACTTGCGACGGGCATAGAGTGGAAATATTCAGTAGTGTAAATAATTGGACAAATTCAAGATTGACCAACAAACTGTAACCCATACTTGAACAATGATATAAGTTTACAGGGTGATACATGAAATAAATTCAATGATTGACGGTTTCTGAAACTGACCGTTTATAGAAAAAGTCTGTATATTTTAACGTGGAATTTTCTTTTCTATGCATCGCATTTATTTAATGACTCTTAAATTTACACAGTGATCATTAACAATGAATTAAAAAGTCATTTAATTAAAGAAATGCGACATGGTCTACTTTACGAACCATTCCATGCTACTGATTATGGACCATTTAAGAGCTTAGATTCTTGACCGTGTAACTTGTCATGCTATGTCCCCCTTTGTTTTGCAGACAATCTATAATGACTTTGGCTTTAGGATTAGAACATCTAGTATTTTGGCTGTTCAATCAGGAATGCTTCAAATATATATTTACTCTAAACGTCGCATTTAAGTATCGTACATAATGTAAAGAGTTATTCTCGTTTTACATAGACCTCCATTTTAAAACCTTCACTAGATGTTGAGTACAAGGAACGTTATTCCAGACATTGAAATCTCTAATATTATACAGCTATACAGACATAATTAATGATATTGATTAAGCAGTTTTGTATTGAACTTGATAACATGTATGTGCATGTTAGTACATATGTTTCCTACACAAAAATACCGAAATTTAACGAGAATACAAAATCTTATTTTATTGATTGTCAAACGTTCTGATTGATAGTTAATAATTTAAATTCTGACGTCCTTCCTACAATTAGGTACAAGCAAATATTATTAGGATTCTATTGATGTCCTTATAAAGAAAATTACACCATAAATGTACATGAATAATGTAAACCATAACCTAACGTGAATAGACTACACAAAGTCTGATTAAAATCAGATAACCGTCGTCCTACGCGAGAACCTGATAGCAACAGCCTCAAGGTCATGTTCTGGTCGGTAGTAATGAGGTTTTCAGACATCTGAAAGAAAATCATATAATTCTGCTCACTTTGATAATCTATTCATCCGTACTGATGTGTCTCCCTCACGGGAAGATATACAACTTTATGTGATTGGTATACACAGTTAGTGACTATGGAATAATAGGTCATCAGAACATGCCCACCGGGAAATCGCTGTCAGGTAGGTTTTCGTTTAGGACAGTGGACATCTGACTTTAATCAAAGAACACCATAGCCTAACAAAAAATAAAGTACAACATAACCTAATATGAATAAAGTACACCATATTTTAGCGCAAATACATCACACCACTACAAAAAATTTGAAAGCATTACACGACAACATAAGGTGAATAGATAAATTACACCAAACTCTAACTTGAATAAATTACACCGTTTATTTGCCAATGCGTGTCATCTGAGTTTGTGTGTGTGTGTGTGTGTGTGTGTGTGTGTGTGTGTGTGTGTGTGAGAGAGAGAGAGAGAGAGAGAGAGAGAGAGAGAGAGAGAGAAAGAGAGAGAGAGAGTTTGTTCACATCTTTAGAGACTGATCTCAATACGAGTCTGAGAACAATTAATGTAAATGAGAGACAGCTATGATTCCAAATTTCACACAATCGATATTAGAGCTTTAAAACAATATAGATTCTCGAATGATTCATATAAGAAGACAAAAAGAAAAAAAAATAAAAGTAAAGAAAGGAAACAAGAAGACGTTTACGTATCTTAAATATGTGAAATGATATTGTCAATAAAAACAGTAGTAAGACCTAGACTACGAGTCACTCACAGGAATATTCAAATATTAAAAACGACAGAAACAGAAAAAAATCTTCTTTTCTCTTATTTTGAAAAATCACGTACAAGACCTAACCATTGCATTAACTAAGACCTGCCATTGAACCCAATACATACCTCTCAATGAATAGTTATTAATACAAATTGAACTTAATCATTTGCATACGATGATGGGATCACTTTTGGTCAGTGGGTAACAGAACAGCAACGTATAAACAATTTGCAATTTATATGCCACGTCGATGTAAGCTTTCTACATGCGATGATCATAGTGAGCAAGTTTGGTAAGCGGGCGAAATTACATCCTTCATTAGGCAAACCAAAACTATACATCCGAAGGTTATTTTTTTGCTATTTTACCTTCTTTAAAAAAAACGAGTCAGCCCATCTATATCGATCTCGAATAAACTAGAAACATAGACGACCTTTTTCAAAGACCCAATGATATACAATGTAGGTATAAAGTTAACACGAGGAGCGAGAAATATAACAATTCAAAACCATATGAAACTTACTGTTCAGCCATGTATCAATTACGATATAAAATGATAATAGTGAAAATACTTACAGAAGAATTTTTATTTCAAACATTAATTCACATTCTTCTAATAAATACGAATATATTAGGATATATTGTATTCACTGTTCTGGTACTAAAAGAAATATATCATCCTGAAACTTGTGATCAAAATGTCATTAACTATGACATTAGTTTTCCAAGTAATTAAATCTAACGTAATCGGTAGTTAAACAAAAAGAAAACAGATTTTTGATAGCTTCTAACAAAACCGAATATACAAGAATTGTACATCTTGAAATATTAAATGAGAACTGTGTGATCTTGCTTTACTAGAAAAATAGTGAACAATCTCAAGATCCAGAATGTTGCCAGAAGTGTTCGCATTACTTGGACATGAAACGAATCAATTATTGCAAGATGTCAAATATGGGTTGATTTCTTCTCGTGAGAGTAGAAAACAATAACTTTTGTCGACATAAAAACTGTAGGCCCAATACAAAATGACCAAAACCGTTTGCTTTCATTTATAATAAAGAGACGAAATACAACCTCTTATTTATGTCAATTTAAAGTGCCGTTTTTATACACAATTTAGTATCTTAAATGAACGGGGTGAAGTTAATTATTTCGCTTATTTGACAATAGCCGTCCTGGATTTATGTATTAAATTAGATCTTGAGAGTGTTCCAGGCTGTAATATGTTATTATTGTTAATAAAACAACGATTGATTTTACCAATTCAATAGTGGTTACAATAATTGCCTTTAGTATGCGATGTTTACCTAGTGACTCCAACTAAAGATATCACGAGATTCTCATTTTGTGAAAGACAATCATCCTTGATGTGTGCCTGCATGTACTAGAATAAATCATAATACCCCAACATGGTGTACTACATACTACACAGTGATAGGTGTAAATGAACAAGATCGAATCCTAGTTCTCTAACGTTTTGTACTATGCACCGTATGGAGGTGTATCTGTGTGATCAAAAATGAATCCAAAAATACCAATTTTGTGTACTACACTCTGTAGTGATATATGAATCCTAATATACCTATATTGTGTACAATAATATGTACTGCGGTGTGTGTCTGTATGACCTAGACGAATACTAATAACACGAATGCTGTGTAACATGTGGAGGAAATTGATACATTTTATGATAAAGTAGATGTACCTGGTATTGGAGTTAAATTCGTGAGAGATGTACCTGGTATTGGAGTTAAATTCGTGAGAGATGTACCTGGTATTGGAGTTAAATTCATGAGAGGGGATTGTGAAACGAGTATAAAATCCCTCAAAATACCTTTATTCTCAAAGTTAGTAGGTGGAGAATAATTTATATAACATACACAGTATCATAAAATTAAGAAAGATTTGGAACAATTAATGATGTTTTTGCCTAAAAATTTTATAACAAACAAATGATCTAGACACAACAAGTCACATACAGCTTAAAACAAGTTAATAGTTCATAATGTATGATATTTACGGAAGATCTTCTGCACAAGGATGTAACGTGATTGTGATTATGATTTTTAAAGTAGTTTCGATTTTTAACGTAGCTTTAACAATTTCTCAGTCATATTGCTAAAATGTCTGCAGTGTGGCAGTTTATAGTGATGTCTAGCACTGGGAGCATCATGCCGCAGACATGTATCATGATCTCCCACCCAGTTACATTATCCTGACACCAGGCCGACCAGTCCTAACACTAAAATCTTTAGGCTGAGCGTCAAGCGAGGCAGCTGTTAGTACCATTTTTTTTAAAAGTCTTTGGTATGACTCGACCGGAGATCTAACTCGCGACCTCCCGCATCCGAGGCGGAAGTTCTAACCACTAGGCCACCGGAGCGGTTACCGAGCAAATTGGGAATATATATATATATATATATATATATATATATATATATATATATATATATATATATATATATATATATATATATATATATATATACACACATATATATATATATATATATATATATATATATATATATATATATATATATATATATATATACATATATATATATATATATATATATATATATATATATATATATATATATATATATATATACATATATATATATATATATATATATATATATATATATATATATATATATATATATATATATATATATATATATATATATATATATATATATATATATATATATATATATATACCTAAAATCTTTATCCGAAACGAATTATTTACCGTGTCCAAATATATACGAATGTATCTCAACTGGCTTTTCAACGACAGCCTCCGCAGTTTACAGGAATATCTCTGCATGACTGTCTGATGAATTGCATTAGCTACTATGAAGATATATTGCATGATCATGAACGTCACGATGGAATATTACTACATTTCAACTTTAATCCGGAGTGGATTCAGTAAGGACTAATTCATATCGTAATTCCAGAGACAACAATGTCTAATTTCTGAAACTCTTGAGGACCTAATGACGGGATGGTTGTATTCAGGAAAATTGTAATCTGGTTCACTCGCATACAACAATCTTTTCAATGGATAATCAAATCATATTACTTGTGGTGGTCCAGTATAAGTTGGAGCTACTATAGGTCATACCAAAACAGTTCTTATCGACGACCTATATACGTCAAAGGCGTAATTGGATTCCATGGAATCACGTGTGAATATTTCAATGGAGGTGCTCAGCGTTTGAAAGTGTACTTTGATAACGATATTTGATTATTTTCCTGTGATTGAATTTGTGGTCAGCAAGGAAATACGCAAGCGTGTCAATCGCACAGACCATAGGAGAGATCTTTAAACGCATAGCTTAATTGATTGATTATGCGGTGAGTTTGTCTTTGATTTGTTCGATTTGGTATTATCCAGTTGGAAAACAAACAACTTTCCAAACAGATCTTGTTCCAACAGCGCTAGTTTTATGTGAGAACACCAGCGAATTGCTAGCCTCTAATCCACCAAATGACTTTTCTCTGATATTTGATTTCTTTTAATGATGCATTCCACGCAAACACTTGATTATACGAAATGATTGTGTGCTGTTTATAATGTTAATAATGTTATATACTAAGTTACCAGTTGAAGTGTTTTCAGGTACCGCCAATATGTTGTTGAGGTTAAGACTTTGTCTACTGGTTCTAGTACGAATGTTTCTTCGGTATTGTGATTTGGCCATAGTACACAATTAATTTCACTATATTGTCTCTACATTTGTTTCTCAGTACTGAACTTTCCACTGTGTGACAATCAATACAATTCATATGTTAATCTAAAGTACCTTCAAAGATGACTTTACGGTTTAGTTCTTGTCAAGGGTTGACTTGCATTTTTTGAGAGGCTGAATTGTAAACAAAATACCAGGCAACGGAATACAGATTTCATTTCCGGATCATCACCATGACCTTATTACTCAATGTGCCGAAATGCACACAGACAACCACACCATAAGCTTACATTTTAAAGAAGAAACAATTGCGTTTAAATCCTTACCAAGAATGCCAAAATCTGACTCTAGTGTCACCACCAAACTTTGACAGGACAAAGTGATCTAAAAATAGACTGGGACTACATTCGTGGGTACTGAACCGGATTTTATTAATTGTGTACTGATTCCTGAAAGGGTCAATGTTTTTGTCAAACTTTTATATTTGCAATTTTTTTTGCATGCCACTACTATTTTAACTTCATACATAAAGTCTTTTGAAATTTCCTTGCAAGCTAAATACGTGACAGCTATCAGAAAGTGTGTAGTTCTGGTGTTCTATAGGGTGCAATTTGAGATCCAATTGTTCTTAAGAAACTTAAACTAAATTTGCTATATCTTCCTTAGTTATAAGAATTTTTCAATGCAGTAAAAACCTAATTGTAATACTTGATAAGGCCTGTCTGAAACTATTCCTGAAATTAAAAGATATTGATATTTAAATTTTAATGAAACTTTAAATAAATATATAAATTTTAAAAGCTATTTATTTTACAAAAATTAAATTTGCATACAAGTTATGACATTCAGTTTGACAAATTTAAGGCAGGAAAGTTGATTAATGAATGGTGTTAAAGACAAATGGTAGCTTAGGTCTGTACAACTGATAATATTAATCCCAGGGGTACTGAAGCATGATAGCTCACAATGATCATGACAGCAAATTGCAACATGCCTATCCAGATGCATATAGGTGTATGTGATAAATTGGCGGCGTGCAAAACACACCAACCTCTTTCACTACGGTTCGTTGCTAGGGAATGACCTCCGCGGTGTGATTTACCCAGTGTGGATAGATAGAAAGAAGAATGCAGATCAATGAACAAGTATATTGAAGAAATAACAAAACGAGCCCCCATTCAATGAACAAATATAAATTTAATCAGTTTATCAACAGAATTTAAAATGAAAGAAATCAATGACTTGGTTACAAAAGAAGGAAAATGGTACTAACATGTACTCAAATAAAAAGACAATACAAATTTCTTTAAATGTAAAATTACTTTCAACGATAAATTACTATCCTCATTGCCAATGAGATGTGACCTTTGAGTGCAACGATGAGAGACTTCATCATCTATTTTATGCGGACATCAAGACTCCCGTTCGTCCCTGCTCTGCCGATCTTTGTCTAGCTGTTTCGTCTTGGACTCTTGTCCGTCGAACTCTGACTTAACAATCGTCTCTGGACTTAAATTTCTGCGTAGAACGTGTTCTGGTCCTGTGATTGTTCAGGGAGTTCTCATGTGAATCCAGGAAAGCTGTTTCCTTCAATAAATAAAATGTCTCGCAATATACAATAGGTCACATTCTCAGGTATATCTGTATTTTACATTAATTCGGCTCAGAAACAAAAGGCATAAATTCTGCCGCAGTAACTCATTGCTCCCTAACTGTTATGTTTACATAAACGGTCAATGCTTGTCCTGACCTTAATTCGGATCATGCTAGGGGTGGTCAATTAATTCAACTCAGCCATATGAACCCGTATGTAACCCCCACTCGACTGCTGACTCTACCAATCTAGCAGTCTTAAGTTACATATGCTTAGACCCTCAGATCTAACTATTCTAAAATAGTTTACTCGACCAATTAAATATTACAAACTATCATATAGATATACACTTAAGTGATCAGTTAAATATTACAAACTAGTATATGGTATACATGTAATGTTAGGTATACTCATTCTAAACAGAGTTAGTCCATAAACTATGAAACATTACCCATCATTCCTTAAGCTTAATTCATTTAAATTCCTAATCACTCTTATGTATTCAAAATTCAATTACATGCAATCGTTTCAACTAATCTAATGAAATTTTAATTACATTCAATCTTGCCAATTCTCCAAATGAAAAATTGATAATTAGAAAATCAAAGAACAAAATGTCATGACTAGCATTTCACTAAAATTCTGCAAAATGAAATCATACATACATACATCATATCAAAGAATACATTTGAAATAGATCAACAAATGAAATAACATATTAAAATCGGAAAATTAAGATTGCGTGCCTTTTGCCGTTTCTTTATTCGTTTCCACGAACCTCACGTATAGTCCGTCTCCTAACTGAGACAACTCTCTGGCCCCTTACTCAATAACGAAGACGTACTTGCTACGAATTCGGAGTCCACCTAACTTTCCTCGCGAAAGATTGAAGACTAAAGAATTTTCCTAAAGTAAAAGCTTTAATTTCTTACAAAGTTACGCCGATAAATCCATATTAACCAATTGGAATTGACTGTTTCCTAAACCTGTTCCGTAGAACTTTTGGATTGACAAGACAACTAAACAACTAATCATGCCGTAATTAATCATTACTTTGAACAATCATCTGTAGCCAGCTGCTGCCCTTTAACCGGTCGATTTTGGGAAAGGTCTTATGTCATTCTTTTGTACCATAGCATCTGACTCGGTCAAGTTACATCGGCTAGAACGAATTCCCTTTTGACGTTCAGGGATGAAATGAAAAAATAATCATCTAACTATCTATAGCCCTTTCTACTTTAATTAAGTTGACTTTGATACAATTCCTTTAACCAAAGCTTCTAAGAGTTTTCAAAATTCGACACATCACAGTATACATACTAAAGAAACAATGACAGCTGCTATCTTCCACATTTATTGTTTTAGTTACTTGGGCAGTTATTTGTATAACTAATAGCCCACTCAAATTTAAAGTTTTGATGGGATCACTGCCATGTTTTAAAGCAAATATGCATTCCATTTTAATGCCGATAACTACAAAAGTCAACAATGCAATATGAAAATACAGTTTCAGGGAAGTTCCACCTTACTGAAAAATGATGTGAATCTCTGTCATGAAGATCTAAGCCATGTCTTTGAGATGCTGTATATCAGTGTACTGATATGAACTCATCTTGGTCACTTATAGCAGCAGACTGCACATGTCCTTATGAGACCTTGGTATCACCATTGGATTACTGGAGAGCTTCCAAAATGATACAACTCTAATACTTTGTCCCAGATACCAGGCTAGACCTGAAAAGATATAACATGTTTCACTTAATTCTAAAGAAAACCAGAAAGATGTAGGCAAATGAAGTTAAATTGTGTTAGAAATGGTTTATTTCAAAATAACATTCAGGTTGCAAATAGGGTTAAAAAAGGTAATCTTGATAGAGTGGCACTCAAAGATGTGAAGCAATGGGCATGTATTAAAGTGACAAATGCATCCTAAAAATAGATGAAGTTGCTACAAGCATATTTAGCCATTTACAGGTTAAATAACTAATCAGGTAGAGTATGTATCATAAAGTTTAAGGCAATGTTGGAACGGTGAGGTTTGAGCATTGGTGCAAACATTGATAAATACCAGTATAGTGGAAAGTC